TCTACACTGTGTTACCTCTTATTCTAGACCGCCCCACATATGGAACCATCCTCTCTACATTTACTTTGTCAATCCCATTCAGCATTTTAGATACCTCAATTATAAATGTCCTCTCATTCTTCTAAACTCCAAAGAATATAGGCTTAAATTGCTCAATCATTCTTCATAAGACAACCTCCTCATCTCTGGAATTAATCTATGAACCTCTTGTGAGCTGTCTCCAATGCAACTTTATCCCTCCTCAAATAAGAGTACCAAAATTATTCACAATATTCCAGGTGGAGTCTCACTGAACTCTTAAACTGCAATAACACTTCCCTACTTTATACACTATTCCCTTAGCAATAAATGTCAAAATGCCATTTGCCTTCCATATTACTTGCAGTAGCTATGTACCAGTTTTCCGCAATTCGTTCAAGAGGACATCCAGATCCCTGCACACAATATTCTAAGGTCTAAGCTGCACTACATTCCTGCTTTTATACTCTATGCCCCAATTAATGAAGTCTGGAATATAAAGTCCAATATTAGAGTATGTCCACAATGTCTATTCCTACTGACAGATTCATGTAAAGATGGATAAGAGTCACATTGAGCCTAACTCTCTTTAAAGAACAGTAAGGTTTGGTTGTTCACTGTCATCTATCCGATCTATTGTCTGCAATTGTGTCAAATCAAAAGTGACAGATGGAGGGTTAGTTTTGCTTATATGTTTCATTTGCTTCACCAAGTTTCTTCAGTTATGTCAAAGAGACACGTAAGAAAGGGACTGGAGTGTCTATTTTAGGTTTTTCCACACATAATTGTTCCTTTTTGAAGACAATATGTTATTGGTGAAGTCACTTGGGCCTTTAGTAATGCTTTATGCACCATTGAGAAAAATGGGCAATTGAATGCGATATGATGGTAGCAACAGCTGCAGATGCTGGAGTCAGAGATAACACAGTGTGGAGCTGGAGGAACACAACAAGTCAGGCAGCATCAGAGGAGCAGGAAAGTCAATG